CAGTAAGTGGGAATGACGAAATACAATAACATGTCTTCTTGGTCGAAGGTCACATACTGTATAAAATGAAAAAATAATTACGACCCGTGAACTTTTTTACATGACCTTATTATAGCTAGCGGCTGTGTAAGGGGGACGTGAAGAGGCCAGGGTCTAAATTCTAAGTCGTAGGATGATTATTCTTCATATATAAAGGTGTAAAAGCATACCTAACTGGTTGAATTACGTTAAAGAAGGGTCACCTGAGGATTAAACACCCTAGATTATTTCACGTGATGATTAAATACCCTAAAGCTAACCTAACCTGAACCCCCGTCCCGTTAGGATGTTTTTACCAATAATAATCAGGTGAAACAAGCTGGAATATCTGCTTTTCAGGTGATCCATAAAGACAAAAAAATTAGTTACAAAAATTACATTCATATAACACTAAAACATAACCTTAATTTTATATTCTTACCCTGCCACAAGATAAAATCAACACACAATGTTTCCAAAGATTTGTTTATATAAATTTTGTCTCCCAATTGGTGCAAGTTTTTCTTGTGTATTAACTTGAGACAGCCAGTTCAAGGTCTTCTTATGAGAAATGTTTACCATTCCAACCTTTGAGAATCTTAACCCATATATGTAAAGCCTATAATGGAAAGAATAATATGGAAGATCTATCCTCCTTTTGCTTAAACTGGAAATATTTAATGTTGAAGTGATGAGGAGTGAAACATTAAACACGTCATAACACAAGCTGAGAAACTGGGTTGAAATGGATGTTATTAGGTGAGTTTGAATAAGAAACCTTTATAATAGCCATGAAAGTTGGAAAATTAATTCATTGTTCTAAAAATATCCACCAAGCAATATGTTTTTTATTCAGTTAATTACTTACTGAAGACGAAAAACAAAATAGTATACCAGACAAAAAGTTCCGCGTTTGAAAAAAACTTTAGCCTGGAGGTGAAGGGGAGAAACAAACGAAATGGAACCTAATCTCAAAATAGTTCTCAAAAAAACCTATGAAGTAACACCGAGGATCCTCAGGTAGTCACGTAATCCCGTGGCAAGGATGTAAGGTATAGTAGTCCTTGTGCTGTGGTGCCTCCCAACATTATCCCGTCGGTGACACCTGGATTACCACCCCTGCGCTTCTGCCACCACACAAAGAGAATTTCCCATCCTCGCGTACAGCTGATGGGACGAAAAGTAATTGCAATTGTTTCTCCCACGACACTACTTGTCTCGCTGCCCTTATCTATTACTGTAAAACGGTATGAGAAATTTAAAAAAAGATGACAAAGTTTCGGCATTTTACCTGTCACATTTTTCCCGTGAGTTTTAATGGTGGGTATAAAGTTATTCATGCAACTTCCGCCCTGCTAGGCACCGACCGATTAACACAAGTATCTGAAAAATACAGCATATTTTTATATTTACGTTTTGTTAATTCATCTTTGAAATTTGTAGTTAATACTTATGTGTTCATTGCTGTATGCATTTTCCCTTTTGCCATGTAAATTTCTGAGTATCTTAATCTACAGGTGTCTTAATTGGGAGGATTCTCAAAGGACCTTACGTTAATTTTCCCTGAGTTACACTGAGGTATAGAAATATATGAACACTTAAACTAGGACTTCAATATGGCACCAAGGAGAGGAAAAATAGCATAAATCGAAACTCTGAAGGCGAACTTTTTCGGATTGAGAGTTGTGAACTCTTGGAACAACCTGCCAGACTGTTGTGATGGCACTAAGTTTGAGCTTTCAGGAGCCAGTGCATGCCCAGTACTTGCCAACAGTGTGTAACAGAGACGTGACCGATCGAAATTCCCGGATGACTACTCTTCCTTCCAGTTAAATCACAGCAGTGTGGGACAAGAGGAGGAATGGCAGAGGGAAGTGAGAGCAAGGAAAATAAAATGAGAATGAGAAAGTGGGAGGAGGAAGGAATAGAAAGATTACTGCGTTGCTACTCCATACAATATCTGCAAACGGCGCCTGAAACGTAATTAATTTAGGGAAATAAGACCAGCTTGAGTTTGCGAAAATGAGAGACGTATCCGCCATATGTAATGTTGGCCCACCTGGGAACTGTCATTGTGATCCACATATAAATCTCCTGTAGAGCTGAACTAAGAAACTTTTTAATATGTCAAATTGTCAATGAAGGTACAGCACAAGGGGTGGAGGAGACTGTGTACTAGGGGGAGGTATAACACAAGGGGTGGAGGAGACTGTGTACTAGGGGGAGGTACAGCACAAGGGGTGGAGGAGACTGTGTACTAGGGGCACAAAGGGGTGAGGAGACTGTGTACTAGGGAGTATACAAGGGGTGGAGGAGACTGTGTACTAGGGGAGGTATAGCACAAGGGGTGGAGGAGTACTAGGGAGGTATAGCACAAGGTGGAGGAGACTGTACTAGGGGAGGTATAGCACAAGGGGTGGAGGAGACTGTGTACTAGGGGAGGTATAGCGCAAGGGGTGAAGAGACTGTGTACTAGGGAGGTATAGCATGGGTGGGAGGAGACGGTGTACTAGGGGAGGTATAGCACATGGGTGGAGGAGACGGTGTACTAGGGGAGGTATAGCACAAGGTGGGAGGTGATGTGTACTAGGGGAGGTATAGCAAAGGGTGGGAGGAGACTGTGTACTAGGGGGAGGTATAGCACAAGGTGGAGGAGACTGTGTACTAGGGGAGGTATAGCACAAGGGTGGAGGAGACTGTGTACTAGGGGAGGTATAGCACAAGGGTGGGAGGAGACTGTGTACTAGGGGAGGTATAGCACAAGGGTGGAGGAGACTGTGTACTAGGGGAGGTATAGCAGGGAGGAGACTGTGTACTACTGGGAGGTATAGCACAAGGGGTGGGAGGTGACAGTGTACCAGGGAGAGGTATAGCACAAGGGGGGAGGCTGTACTAGGGGAGATAGCACAAGGGTGAGGAGCTGGGAGGTATAGCACAAGGGTGGAGGAGCTGTACTAGGGGAGGTATAGCACAAGGGGTGGAGGAGACTGTGTACTAGGGGGAGTGTAGCACAAGGGTGGAGGAGACTGTGTACTAGGGGGAGGTAAGCACAAGGGTGGAGGAGACTGTGTACTAGGGGAGGTATAGCACAAGGGGTGGAGGAGACTGTGTACTAGGGGGAGGTATAGCACAAGGGGGTGGAGGAGACTGTGTACTAGGGGAGGTATAGCACAAGGGGTGGAGGAGACTGTACTAGGGGAGGTATAGCACAAGGGGTGGAGGAGGCTGTGTACTAGGGGAGGTATAGCAAGGGGTGGAGGAGACTGTGTACTAGGGGAGGTATAGCACAAGGGGTGGAGGAGACTGTGTACTAGGGGAGGTATAGCACAAGGGTGGAGGAGACTGTGTACTAGGGGGAGGTATAGCACAAAGGGGTGGGAGGAGACTGTGTACTAGGGGGAGTATAGCACAAGGGGTGGAGGAGACTGTACTAGGGGGAGGAGAAGGGGTGGAAGAGACTGTGTACTAGGGGAGGTATAGACAAGGGTGGAGGAGGCTGTGTACTAGGGGAGGTATAGCACAAGGGGTGGAGGAGACTGTGTACTAGGGGAGGTATAGCACAAGGGGTGGAGGAGACTGTGTACTAGGGGAGGTATAGCACAAGGGGTGGAGGAGACTGTGTACTAGGGGGAGGTATAGCACAAGGGTGGAGGAGACTGTGTACTAGGGGAGGTATAGCACAAGGGGTGGGAAGAGACTGACTAGGGGGAGGTATAGCACAAGGGGTGGAGGAGGCTGTGTACTAGGGGAGGTATAGCACAAGGGTGAGGAGACTGTGTACTAGGGGAGGTACAGCACAAGGGGTGGAGGAGACTGTGTACTAGGGGAGGTGTAGCAAAGGGGTGGAAGAGACTGTGTACTAGGGGGAGGTATAGCACAAGGGGTGGAGGAGACGGTGTACTAGGGGAGGTGTAGCACAAGGGGTGGAAGAGACTGTGTACTAGGGGGAGGTATAGCACAAGGGGTGGAGTGGTACTAGGGGGAGTGTAGGCAAGGGGTGGAAGAGATCGTGTACTAGGGGAGGTGTATAGCATAAGGTGGAGGAGACTGTGCATTAGGGGGAGGTATATACAAGGGGTGGAGGAGATTGGGGCCTAGGGGGAGGTATAGCACAAGGGTGGGAGGAGACTGTACTAGGGGAGGTGTAGCACAAGGGGTGGGAAGAGACTGTGTACTAGGGGGTGGCAGTGTCAAGGGTGGAGGAGACTGTGTACTAGGGGAGGTATAGCACAAGGGGTGGAGGAGACTGTGGGGCCAGGGGGGAGGTATAGCACAAGGGTGGGAGGAGACTGGGGTACTAGGGGAGGTGTAGCACAAGGTGGGAAGAGACTGTGTACCAGGGGGAGGTATAGCGCAAGGGGTGGAAGACTGTGCATTGGGAGGTATATATGTGGGTGGAGGGAGACGGTGTAATTAGGGGAGGTAAGAAAGACATGGGTGGGAGGAGGACAGTACTAGGGGAGGTACAGCACAAGGTGGAGGAGACTGTGTACTAGGGGGAGGTATAGCACAAGGGGTGGAGGAGACTGTGTACTAGGGGGAGGTATAGCACAAGGGGTGGGAGGTGACGGTGTACCAGGGGAGAGGTATAGTACAAGGGGTGGAGGAGACTGTGTACTAGGGGGAGGTATAGCACAAGGGTGGAGGAGACTGTGTACTAGGGGGAGGTATAGCACAAGGGTGGAGGAGACTGTGTACTAGGGGGAGGTATAGCACAAGGGTGGAGGAGACTGTGTACTACTGGGAGGTATAGCACAAGGGGTGGGAGGTGACGGTGTACCAGGGAGAGGTATAGTACAAGGGGTGGAAGAGACGGTGTACCAGGGGAGAGGTATAGCATAAGTATGGAAAGGAAGGGATACTCGGAGAATGGGGGAGGGGGGGTATTACACACCGTATGGGTGGGAGGGAGGTAGTGTGAGGGGAGGAGGTGGGTGGGTATATATAAACACGGGTTGGGACGAGACAGGTGTAGTTCTCATCTGTGGGCCGCACCTCAAGCATTATCGTCTAGGTAGGTCGTGCACCATCACCTGCGTCCACGTTCTCACAATATCACAAGTTATCTTCTCTTTTTAACTGTTAGTATTACCTGATCTTATTATTTAATTATCTGTCGTCACTACAGCTGGATGAGTGAAATTCCCTCTCAGGAAGGAAATTAGAATACGTAGGTAGTTACGGTGGAGTCTGTAATTTTTACTTCATTTTTACCGCCGTGTTTGCCGAGCGTAGTAGTGTAGGTGAGTTAGTTACACGTATTTTAACAACATCAGTTAGATAGGGAATTAGAGAAAATTTTAAAGGTACGATCCTTTGAGAAACATAACCCAGGTCTGATAACACAGCCACTCATCTATAATACATGTATACGTTAAAGTCATCCCTTAAAAAATACTACTTTCCCACTATATTATTTTAACTAAACATTATCACATAGCGAGGACAAAATAGCAGTAAGACCAGCTATAGGATGTATCAGACACAGGGCCTAAAGTCTCAAAGATCCTGACACTAAATTACGTCCTTGTAGGTGATGGCAGAGGAAATACTAGTAACAGTAGTGGGAGCTAGTTGGTTGTGTTCCCACCTTACTTGTTGGCAGGAAAAAATAGCGTACGAGATTTTGAGAATCCTGTTCCAGAATAACAAGTCACATGTGAAATAAGAGACAGCAAATAGTGAACAGGACAACGGTGATGCTGCTCTTGTTATCATGAAGCACTAGTGAGGGCAGGTGGTTGAAGTCGAAGATCACTAACCTTTAAAACGACGTGTTATTAAGTAGTACAGACAAGTATAGGGAAACGCCAGGTTCTGTTGATTGCTCGAATTGATGTTTTTACGGTAAGGCTCAAGTCCCCGCTCTCTCTACATGAAATTAATTTCCTATTTTAAAGCAGAATTAGTTTGATAGCTGTAAGATATTATAAATTATGTTAATACGATGTGCTACTAATAGTATTGTAAAGTAACTTTCTATTACTTGTAACGTTAGATCAGTATCAATACATCCTCATCTAACCCCTCCTATCAGATGCTCCCCCGCTGTTTGTCGAACCTCTTTCTCCTCCTGCCACTCCGCTTCCAACTACTTTTCTTCCCTTTTATCCCTTATTTCACCAACTCCTCCACCTACTGTTCTTCCTAACCCTTCTTCCTCCTCTTCTGGCGAAGGAATGCGGCTTCTAATGACCAAACTATTTGATCGCTACAAAAACAGCTGACAGTCACTAACCAAATTCATCTTTTGGTGTCGTCGAGCACATCATTTTTGTTCCCCTAGAGTCAAGAATAAAGCTACACCTTCATTTTCTCCGTCAGTTCAGTTTTAGGTGACTTTCCACGTCTTGTCATTCTCTCACAACAACATCTTCTATATAACGACCATCTAAGAGTTAAACCACGTAATGTAACCCATAAAATCCCAAGAAAAGTGGACATCCTATATTAGCAACCATCACAATAATTTAGTGTTAAAACACGATTTGTTATCCAATTCATGGACAATAATAATCTATACACTCCATAGTGTATGGAATTACAACGTTTCCTTCTCTTTTCATTTTCGGGCTCACCCTAGAAATCTAATAGGTTCACAAACATCAAAATAAAGTCATAAACCTATCCTACGAGGGCCTGTCTGTGATACTGTAGGTGACACCCACCAGATCCACGTGGCTGGCGCCGTAGGTCAGCTAGGGAGAACCTCGGTGAGGGTCAAGTGAGTGCAGGGTGGCAGCCAGTAGGTTGTGTCTCGTCATCGTATATCTCTCCTTATTGTCATATTTACAAGACAATATTAACTTTCCCATCAGGGTCCAGCTTCTCAAAGGTTCGTACGATGAATATTTGAATAAAATTACGCTGAGAGCTTGAGACTGCATTCAGCAGATGCGTTCACTTAACATCAAACAATAGCAAAATACAAAATGTTTTCAAAGATTCTATACATTAAATTTATCTCTTAACTAGTAATAAGTAAGCCTGCAATATATGGCTAAGTTAGACTCAATGCAATTTATATGCCATTTTAAAGGTCATTTTTTTGTGTACTAGCTAAGTCAACCAATTATGTGCCTTCTTAAATCTTCCCTTACGAGAAATATGCATAGACCGAACCTTTGAGGATCTGGACATACTGTAAATGAAAGTTTCTAGGCATGAACTTAATTAATGATTTCTTGTATTTTCATTGTTCTTGAGCTGTCTCGCAGTGTTTATGTTGACACTGGGTAAATAATGCAGAGTATATCGAGTTCTGTTTATTTTTCCTGGGAATGGTCAGCTTGAAGTATTGTGAAGAGTTACCTTGCCAGACGAAACCACGAAATTAGTCGATATCTCCCATACTCACACACACACACACACACACACACCTCCTTCGTGCTCTTCATCACTCACAAGTACAACGCCTTCTCCCCCTCTCGTCATTTTTAACTAATCGTCTTATCTCATTCATCTTTATTGGCCATCTTTCTCACGTATACCTGATTGTGTTGGTCCCCAGAGTCTCTCCTCTTACCATGTTATCTCGTTCCCTCTCCACTTTCACTGGCTCTCTACCTTGTTCTTTGTGACTATTTATTCTCTGACGCAATTTCTTAAGATTTCTGGGGTCAGATGGTCTGTTCTTAATATATTTTTCTTCTTCCTTCACCTCTTTCTATCTTCCTTTTCAAGTTCCTTTTCTCTTTTCCCTTTTCTTCTCCTCATCTCTTTTCCCTTTTCCCCCTCCTCCTCCTACTCTTTAGTCTTCTTTCTCCCCTCCTTCCTCTCTAATTTTTCCTCCCTTTTTACCCTTTCTTCTCCTCTCTTTTCCCATCTTTTTCCCCTCCTCCTCCTACTGTTTATTATTCTTTCTTCCCTCCTGTCTCTCTAATTTCTACTCCTCCTCCTCCTCCACCTCTCTTTTCCCTATTCTTCTCCTTCAATCTTTTCCCCTTTCTCGCCCCTCCTTCCCCTCTTTTCCCCCTCCCCCCTACTCTTTATTCTTCTTTCTCCCCTCCTTTCAAATTTCTACTCCTCCTCTTTCCCCTATTTCTTTTCTCCTCTCGCCCCTCTTCTCACACTCTTCCTTTTCCTTGCCTTCCATATTCTAACCTGACCTAACTCTGACCCTCCACTTGACCCCTGGCTCCCTCCTGACCTGTGTTCATCCTTGGCCGTCTTCCTGACCTGTAATATACATTTAACTCCCACCTTGCCTCCTGAATCCCGTTTGACCTTATGACCCTCTTCCTGATTTGTTGACCCCCAGCTGTTCTCCTGACCTCTGACGACCCCAGCTGTCCTGACCTCTGATGACCCAGCTGCCCTCCTGACCTCTGTTGAATCCAGCAGTCCTTCTGAACCTCTGATGACCCCCAGCTGCCCCCATGACCTGAGTTGACCTCGCTCTATCTACCCCCCCCCCTCTCCCAGGATGGTTTCGCGCATCTCAGCCGTGGGTTCGCTGGTGGTGGTGGCAGTCTTCAGCATCGTCCTCGTTGCGGCATCCTCCAGGGTAAGTCTCCCACGCTGTTTCCCCCTTCTCTTCTTCTCACAGGCAATTCCTTCATTCCTTCTCTTCTTCTTCTCTCAGATTATTCCTTAATTTTTTCTCTTCTTCTCTCGGGCTGTTCCTTCAATCCTTCTCTTCTTCTTCTCTCAGGCTGTTCCTTCATTCCTTCTCTTCTTCTCTCGGGCTATTCCTTCATTTCTTCTCTTCTCTCACTTCATTATATTCCTCCTTTTTCTTTCATCTTGTTTAGTCCTTGATATTCTTCTGTCTCCAATGGTGATTCGTTTGTCTTTATTTATTAGTTGTCTTGTAATTTTTAATTTCTAGATTATCTCTTATATGTTGCTTTTCTCTTGGTTCTCTTTCGTTTTTTGTCTTCACCTATCTATTTCCTTTCTTTATATGCTATGTTACTTTATGTTTGATCTCAGTTATTTCTCATTTTCCCTCTTCTCTTTCGTAGATATCTCTCTCATTGAACCTTCTTTCATTTTTCCTTTGTTCTTTCTTATCTTGGTAGTATTAATTCCCCCAGTCCTCTTTCTTTCTCACTCACTCTTTGTTCTTTTCGTGACTTTTTCTTTCTTCATTCTCACGACTTAATTTTCTTTCTCGTCTTTATCAGTTTCCTTCTTTGTATTTTCTTTCTTCTTCATCATATCCTTTTCGATTCTCCTATCTCTTATTTCTTATAATAATTCTGTTTGCTATATTTTCCTTCTTTTCTGTTTTCGTTCTTAGAATTTAATCTGAATGTTCCTTGTATTTAAGGTGTCTATGTAGGTATTTATCATTATACTGTATGTGCGTGCGGGCGTGCCGAAGACTTCAACGCGCTAACCAGTAGTTACCAAGGAAACAATTGAACATTATAACCCACTCTCCGCCTTGAACCTTCAGCGACACACGACCTCTCTCACGAGTGATTCCCGACCCACACTCTACAAGGCCTGTTCATTTCCTCTTACCTAGTTAAGACATTTACCTGTGTATTATTACTATTCTGTGGCGATGTTTATACACACTGGTGGGCATCATTATGTCATTTGTTGCATTCCGTCTTTGTTTGAGTGGCGAGATTAGTTTTGGTTAAGTTCGGTAAAAAGTGTGGGTTTATTGGGTTAAAGAAAGGTTTTTAGGTTAATGTTTGGTTAAGTTACATTAAATTAGGTTTAATTAGGATAAGCGAGGGTTCGGTTCGGTTAAATTATGTTAGGCTCTTATTTGTTAAGTTAGATAAGGTTGTCTTAGGAACGGTTAAGTTAGATTAAATTAGGCTAGGTTGAGAGGTAAGTTAGGTCAGGCGAGGTTAAATTTGGTCTGGTTCAATGAGGTTACTTTAGGGCAAGTAAGGTTAGAATAAGTAAGGTTAGGTTAAGTTTGATCAAGTTATTTTAGGGCAGGTAGGGTTAAAATAGGTTACATTAGGTTAGGTTATTTTTAGGTCAAGTAGAGTCACGTTAGATTCTCTGGATATTTTCGGAAGAAAACGAAAAACTACATACCTTGACCATGTGCAGGTAATGATGTAACTAACTTATCAAACGTGAAGGACAGTGATATACTGTATATATTTTTTTACCATTCTCCCCATTCCCTTACATTCCCCGAATCTCCTACCGCCTCCCCTCACCGGCCCTTGTATCCCTCTCCTTCCTGGCTCTCCTAAAAATCCCCCTTCCCTACCCTACCAATTCATTCCCTTTCCACAATAACCCCCATCCCCAATTCCGCCATAACTCACGCACATTCGTGAAGGCCATAATCACGATCGGTCATTGTTCATAAAACACCTCCCATACCCGCGCGCAGGTTGTATTCAGGCTCATCACTAACTCCACCATATAACACGAACCAGCGAGAGGATGTCCTATTATAAGACTGTAAGGTGAAATTATGATACAGTAATGATGTGTAAAACTGTCGTCGGTTAAAATAATGGGAGTTTTATTTGTTTACGTCATTTTCCCATCAAAAGGCCATGAGGTCACTTTCACTTCCTTGCTGGGAGGTGGGGCGCACAGCACGGAGAGATTACCTCATAAACCAATAAGCATCAAGCATTATACTGTACTCAGAAGATGCTGGCCGGAAACCAACAAGTACCCATATGGGGAATATTTTACTCGTGAATCATCTTTAGAAAGCCTTAAGAATGTTTAAAAATAACTGAAGATAATTCGGTATTTAAATTTATCTAATTTTCTGGTGTTCTTCATTAGTTATGTACATTTTGAATAAAGAAATATTACCAAAAGAACACAAAGAATAAGAAACAAATTTTGGTTAATTTTCGTGCTCAACAACTCTTACCACTGCCCATCACACTGACCCCCAACAAATTGCATGGTTGTTCACACACACACACACACACACACACACACACACACACAAAGGTGAACACTTCTTTCTATGCACTACATTATTATATTTTTATGAAGCCGCCACTGCACCATTTCAACCATCAAGATCACCATCATTAACACCATACTTCCCGCCCACCAAACCCATCAATGCTACCGCCACCAAAAGAGAGAGAGAGAGAGAGAGAGAGAGAGAGAGAGAGAGAGAGAGAGAGAGAGAGAGAGAGAGGATATCACCAGAAGTTAACCAGTACCTCCCCCCCCCAGGAGAGGCGGCAGGTGGGGGCAGCAGGAGTAGACTATCCGACCTACTCGGAGGTGCCGCCCGGCCTCTCCTTCACCTGCAGCGACAAGATTCCTGGATACTATGCCGACCCCGAGGCCCAGTGTCAGGTGAGTGTGTAGATCATTAGGTGAGTGTGAGGACAGGGAAAGCCAGTGCCTGACGAAAATTCAAGAAAGCCAGTGTCTGACGAAAATTCAAGCGAGTGGAAGGTTGTAAGGAGAGAGAAGACCAAATTGGTGATGAAGAAACACGCCAAGGATACGTCAACAACGACATCAGCAGCTAAGTGTACCAACTCGTTCAGTCCCTTGATAGACGAATTGGACGTCAGTACAGTCAGGGACAGGGCTGACAAGGAAGGTATAAAAACTTTATTTGTTGGTGACTCACAGGTAAAGTACTTGGACAGGGCCTTTTGTGGTAAAAACATAAATAGGATGAGGGTGTGTTTGCCAGGAGCTGGGGTGGGAGATATAATCGACAGGATGGACAATATCTTGTCTGGTAATGGGAACAAACCCATTATCTGCCTCAGTGCAGGAGGCAATGATATTGGCCGGTGTAGGAGCGAGGAGCTTCTTGATAAGTTCAAGGCAGCTATAGATCGTATTAGGACTAAGGGAGGGATCCCTATCATATGCGGTGTCCTGCCTAGAAGGAGAGTTGGCAGTGAATGGTTGTCAAGGGCAGTTGGTGTCAACGGCCGTCTTGACAGATATTGCAAGTCAATATCAGTCCCATTCATTGACAACTGGGACAACTTCTACGGCAGAAGGGACCTTTATGCTAGGGATGGGGTGCACCTGTCTAGGGATGGAATAGCAACCCTGGCTGGGGCTCTAGAGGGGGCAGTTCAAAATATATCAAAGTCTTTAAACTGCTAGGAGAACATATGAGCACGGGGGTGGAGGAGAATGCAGTGGGAGCGGGTAAATAAAGTGAAAGATTACAGGGAAATAGTGTTAGGAATGATGACAAAACTAAATTAGACAGGGAGTTTAAAACTAAACACGGTAAGGGGAGGACTCAGAACACGACTAACTTAAATGTATACTACGCGAACAGTAGAAGTATGAGAAACAAAATGGATGATATTAGGGCCTTGGTATGTACCGAAAAAATCGATATAATAGCATTCACTGAAACATGGGTCAACCTAGACACACGTGAGTTACCGGTCGAATACCAAATTGCGGGTTACAAACTGTTCCATACCGATAGGCAGACCAGGAAAGGAGGCGGAGTAGCAATCTATGTTAGGGATAATCTGAAGTGTGAAATGAATAAGGAAAAAAAACTGAGCGGAATACAGAAACAATTTGGGATGAAATGCGCAGGGCTTCCATACACAACAAAGTCTGTATAGTAGGCGACTTTAACCTTGGCCAAATAGATTGGACTGACCTTACAGGTAACTCAGAATCAGAGGATTTTCTCGAGACGATCCAGGACTGTTTTCTAAGTCAACATATAACCGAACCCACCCGGGGTAATAATATACTCGATTTAGTTCTGCCAAACAGAGGAAACCTCATTAGCAATGTCGAGGTAGGGAACGAACTTGCAAACAGCGATCACAAAGAAATTAGATTCCAGTTAGATTTGCAGGGCAGACGTATGGAAAATTCCACTGAAGTACCAGATTTCAGAAGGGCAAACTTTGACAGTTTAAAGAGGCAGCTGAGAGAGGGGGTGTCGCGCTTGGCCGTGAACCTGACAGATGACACCGACCTGATAATGAGATCTGAGATTGCCGAGTTCCACGACAATTTAAATAATGAGTTACTTAATGTACAAAGGCAGAACATACCATACAAAAAACTCAGATCAGACAACAATGACCCTAAGTGGATAAATAATTATTTAAAGAACATCATTGGCCAAAGGAAGGCTATAGGTAGAAAGATAAATCGTGGCGAAATTTACCTCCGGGATTATTATAGGGTATTGGCGAGTAGGGTTAAAACCGAGATAAGGAAAGCCAAGAGGAATAATGAGGTAAGGATAGCAAGGGAGGCGAAGGCAAACCCCAAAGGATTCTACCAAATGTATCAAACTAAAACACGAGAAAAGATTGCACCAATACGGTCAGATACCGGCGAGCTCACTGATAATGACAGAGAAATGAGCAATAATTTGAATAAATATTTTTCAACAGTTTTCACCACCGAAAATTTAAACATGATACCCGGGGCACCGACTCTATTCAGAGATAGTGAAGAAAACAAATTAAGCGAGATAGTAGTGACTAGTAACGATGTTAGTAAGCAAATAGACAAACTAAAGCCTAATAAGTCACCTGATCCCGATGAGATATTTGCCAGAGTATTAAAGGAATGCAAGGAAGAGCTTAGTATGCCCTTAGCAAACTTGTTTAACATTTCCTTAAAAACAGGTGTAGTACCAGAATCCTGGTGGATAGCGAATGTAATACCGATTTTCAAGAAGGGGGATAGATCACTATCCTCTAACTACCGCCCAATCAGTCTAACATCAATAGTAGGCAAATTACTGGAAGCAATCATTTCAAACTCCATTCGAAATCACCTGGAGAAGCACAGATTGATCAATGATTCCCAGCATGGCTTCACAAGCGGACGTTCATGTCTAACTAATCTATTAACATTCTTTTCATCAGTTTTCGAATCGGTGGACGAGGGGCACAATTATGATGTGGTATATCTCGACTTTAGCAAAGCCTTCGACAGAGTCCCCCACGAAAGACTAATTAGAAAGGTAGAAGCACATGGCATCAGAGGTGATATCCTTAAATGGATTAGTACGTGGTTACAGGACAGGAAACAGCGAGTGAGCATTAATGGCACTAAGTCTCATTGGAGCAACGTCACACGTGGAGTTCCCCAAGGCTTAGTACTTGGACCATTATTATTTATTATATACATAAACGACATAGATATTGGCATAGACAGCAACATAAGCAAATTTGCTGATGACACTAAAATAGGACGCGTTATTAAATCTGACGAGGACTCCGCAAAACTACAGGAAGATCTTAAAAAAATTTTCGAATGGTCTGAAAAATGGCAGATGAAATTCAATGTGGACAAATGTAAAGTACTCAGTATAGGAGATGTAAACAGGGAAACCAGATACCAGATGAACAACGATGCCATAGAGAAATCCGACTGCGAGAGAGATTTAGGAGTAATGATAAGTAGGAACCTTAAGCCAAGTAAACAATGTGTTTTTGCTCGTAACAAAGCTAATAAAGTACTTGGGTTCATACAAAGGAGTGTTAGTTACAAGACTAGCAAGGTCATCCTAAAACTGTATCTTGTTCTTGTGAGACCACACCTGGATTACGCAGTTCAGTTCTGGTCACCGTATTACAGAATGGATATAGAATCCTTGGAAAGAATTCAGAGGAGAATGACAAGACTAACCCCGGGCATTAGGAACCTTGAGTACACAGACAGGTTAAAGCTTCTTAATTTGCACTCCCTCGAGAGACGTAGAGTGAGGGGCGATATGATCGAGGTGTATAAATGGAAGTCACTGCTAAACAAATGGGACATTACAAAGGTACTCAAACTATCCAACCAGGAGCGAACTCATAACAATGGTTTTAAATTAGACAAATTTAGATTTAGGCGCGAAATAGGTAAACATTGGTTTGGGAATAGAGTAGTGGATGAGTGGAACAAGTTACCAAATATCATCATTAACTCGAATATGCTGGATAGCTTCAAACATAGGTTGGATGGATATATGAGCAATAGGGGTTGGGTGTAAATGGGACTGCCAAGTATGGGCCAATAGGCCCGCTTCAGTTTCCTCCACTCTTATGTTATTGGTTCACACCCAGGGGAATCCTTTTGCACTTCGTGACATTGAATCTTAGCAGCCATTTCCTCAACCATTCTTAAAGCTCACAGAGATCTTTCTGCAGCTCTTCACAGTCTGTTTGGTTGTTAATTCCCTAAATAACTAGGCATCGTCCACAAACATTTGTGAGGGGGAGTTTATAGCTTGTGGCATGTCAGTAATGAAACAGACAAACAACAACGGGCCTAATACAGTACACTGTGGTAACCCACTAGTCACAGATGCACGTGGCGATTTCGTAACATTTATCACCACGCACTGTTTGCATTCACGCAAAAGTCTCCAGTCCACGCTAGGACACTTCCCCGAATCCTGTTTAATTCTCAACCTTTCATGATGTACACTGTCAAAAGCCTTGGCAAAATCTAGGTATATATTGTCGATATTTCCGCCTTGTTCTAGAATTTGATTCCAAACATCCAGTACCTTGAGTAATTGTGTTAAGCAGGATCTTCCCGGCATAAAACCATGTTGGCATTCCTTTACAAGGTTGTTTTGTAGCAGATGTTCCATCATGGCATCTCTTACGATGCTCTCTAGTATTTTGCACACTATGCTGGTCAGACTCACTGGTCTATAATCATTCGTGGAGTGACGATTGCCCTTCTTGAATATAGGACTCACGTAAACCATCTTCCAGTCATCGGGGACCTTTTGCTCCTCCAGGCATTTGCAGAACAGGATCTTAAGGGGTCCCACAAGCTCGTTACACAGTTCTCTTAACACTCCGGGGTGTACTATATCTGGGCCAGGACTCTTGTGAATCTTTAGCTTTGACAGTCTATTTCTTATAACCTCGTCCGAGAACACAATGTGGGTCAGCTCTGTGTCAAACCACCTTTCCTCAAGCGTAGGAAGATTGTTCGCATCCTCTTGTGAACACAGATGAAAAAATTTTTTCAACGCCTCCGCCTTATCCTGGTCAGAATCTGCATAACTACCATCTTCAAGCCCCAGGTCTCATATGCCTACTCACGTTTTTAATTTCGACTGTGCGTAGCGGTAAAATGCCCTTGGGTTTGACTTGACCTCACTGGCAATCTGCCTCTGCAACTCTTTTTCAGCCCTTTTACATGCTGACTTTGCTTGGCTCCTGGAAGTGGCATACATCCTCCTGTCCTGCTCATCATTTGTCTTAACCCACGTCTCGAAATCCTGAGTTTTCTTCTTAACATTGCCGACCGCCGCGTGGTTCGTGTGTTGTGGTCTCCTAGTATTCCTGGAGGCATTGGGTCTGGTCTTAGGTATATATTTGTTGCTC